TTTTCTTCCTTTTTGCTGCGGCATAAGGACAACCCACAAATCACTTTTACATGTAAATAGGCATGTATAACTCCTAAAATGGAGGGAACTTGAAAAAAATCATTTCATTCTTTGAATTAAGTTTTTTTACAGCTTTAATTTATAGTTCAAATCTACTATTGGCAAACATTGTTACCAGGAAAAATTGCCTGAATACGCCCCTCATTCTTATTTCACACTTTTCTAACTGTACTGTCGGCTTACTAAACAAGGTTATGCAAACTCATCATGAAGGTGACTTTGTCAATTTTTCTACGGGGTATCCAGAGATCTTCTGCAGAAAATCCCCGTTTTTTTCTGGTTTTAAATCTTTGTGACATGTATACGGAATCAGGATAAATTATTCCATATTTGGGCAGTGGTCCCATCCACAGAAGAGGGACACAATGCTAAGTAAGTTGCTAAGTAAGTTGCTAAATAAGTCAGATAAAAAGCCAGATTGATGCCTAATGTACTGCAAGAATGCTTCATGACTCAACTCCTTTTAGATTATTCCTTCCTCTATTTGATTATCTCACTCTTGTCTATGAATAGTCTGACTATGCATTCAAGCATTTCTGGATACAGCTTTCTCAGCATCTATGCTTAAATAACAATAAAAGGAAATAAAAAATGTATGTTCTATCAGTTCACACTGTACAGTGTAAGCTGTACATATACTTACGAAGCGAGAAAAGTACAGATTTCTTTTTTATCCATTTTCAAAAAAAATATTTAAATTGTACCAAATTGTGTAATGGAAATGCCATCCTGTAAGTGGAAGATTACTTGACATTTAAGCAGTACACTCAGTACACTCAGTACACTAAAGAGTAAATTTATTGCATATTGAGAGTAGATGATATATTTCTTAAGATGCTTCTATGGTACCCAGGGAGAGACAACATGGACGAGAACTGAAAATTGTATGGATACCTTCGGAATCCAGGCATCTTCAATCGTAGCTGTTGGTCAATATATCATTAGTACTGGAGGAGATATTGCAAATCAACGGTAAGTTGCAGGAAAAAAGGATAAATCTTTTTTGAATCGTTCAGGGTGGCACATAAAAAGAGGGATTAGGGGTTCTCAGCCAATTAAGTAAGATTTTGTCTTTTGATCCTTCCATTTGGAATAAAAACTATGTAGAATATTCGGAAATCTCTGACCTTCAGCTGACCATTATTGTTCAAGGAACAAAAATTCCTTAAACATGTATCTGAACCCCTTTAGATTTTTCTTCTGGGCTTTCTGAAACCCATGGTGTGTATAAATATATACCCTAGAACCCTAGAACGAGAGATTGCAGCAATTCCTGCCCCATGGTTATTTATTTTTTAAAGTAAACAGAGAGGTTTTTGAACATTTGATCTAGTTCGACGTCTAACTGAAGCATCAAACAACAAAATATTACATAAATGACCACTTCTTATATTAAAACCTTTTTAGTCATTTTGAAATATTATTATACTATTTAGGCTTAAAATGATAGTCCCTTTTTTCTTTAGCCACTGCGTAATAAAAAACTTAAAGAGTGGAAACTTTTTAAATAGGATATCCATATCATTTTTGTGGAGCAACTTAAAAATAAAAAAAACCTAAAATGTCTTTAAACAATTAGAATAAATTAGGCAAATATATTTCTTCTTGTCTATTATAGTACTGATAAAATTTACATTTATGACGGAACTAAATGGACGGAATTAGCAAACAAACTAACTTCTCAAAGACGAAATCATTGTTCTGTAGCCACAAGGTATATTTTTCTTTTTAATGATAAAAAGCTGTTCAACTATTTCTTAATATGACTTATTTTAAACCATATAAAATTTGTACAGAACTCTTTTGATCATGATTTATGGGGGTGGGGGAGAGGGTCATGAAGGCCACAAACACCCCTGCTCCCTACTTTTAAATTTGGTAAAAAATGGGGAGAAAATCTTATTGAAGTTATAGTACAAATGATTAAAGAATAACATTTTTCCTGAAATGAACCATAACTGAATATCAGTTTCTTAAAAATTATTATTTTCGAATGTTGGTTTTCTGTAAAGGTGACTTGTAGTTTTCTTGTGCTAAGGCTATTAGAACAATTGTTATTGTTGACCATGTTTAAGATTAAAAAACCAACAATTATCTTCCTCATTGTTACTATGATAGATGTGTAAATAGTACTATTGTGAATTAGACTTTTTAACTCTTTAAACAAATTTTGTTTCAGCGAAACAACATTAGTTGTGATGGGAGGGCAGGGTAATGGTAGCCCATCTACTTTTGTAAAAACAAATTACACTTTTATTATATTAAAAACACATAAAATACCAAATAATTAGTAGCTTAACCAAAGAAATTTGAAAACTATTGAAACCAGTGACCCTATTTCCATTTGTAAGTCACATTTAAAATTAATGATTTTTAGATGGAAAAGCAATTTTGTTGCACACAATTCTGCGAATATCTAAAAGCTTCTTAGCTCGCAATTATAGTGCAATTCCGCAAGTCCGCATTTGGTTTTATGTACAAACATTGATTATTAATAATGTACAACATACGGCGAATGTTTATGGAATATTGTAGCGCCCCTGTTGGATTCCTGGAATGCAGTACACATTATTATTGTTATTGTTTAGATTATAGTATACTGCATCTTTTCAGCTATCTCCTGTAACTGTTCCCATACTAGGAGCTGATTTCCTACGGCACCACCATTTGCTTGTTGATGTAGCTGGCCACAGAGTTCTAGATTCTTCTTCCTTGTCAGCAGTTGGAGTCCCCAGAATCATCAGAGGTCCTTCATGAAGCTCTTCTCGGAACCCCAAGCTCCATTTGTGATCTTCTTACAGAGTTCTCAGATGTTCTCTCTTCAGATGGATTCACAGCAGCTCCTCCAAAGCATGGAATACGCCATCACCTTCAAACTCATCCTGGCCCTCCAGTGTTAGCCAAGTCTAGGCGTCTAGACCCAGAGAAGCTTGAGATTGCTAGATTGGAGTTTGCTGAAATGGAGAAAGCAGGCATAGTTTGTCGTTCCTGTTCTCCATGGTCCAGTCCCCTCCATATGGTTAGGAAGAAGGATGGAGGTTGGAGACCTTGTGGTGATTATTGGAGGCTCAATAATGTCACAATTCCAGATCAGTATCCTCTTCCTAACATTGCAGATTTTACTTCCTGCTTGGATGGTTCCTCAGTTTTTTCCAAAANTGTAAGAGATCATACATCAGCTCCTTTTTCTACTCGCTGATGTCTGGGGGGAGTCTTGTGGCGCCCCTGTTGGATTTCTGGAATGCAGTACACATTATTATTGTTATTGTTTAGATTATAGTATACTGCATCTTGTATAAATACTGTTGTTTGATAAATATATATTCAGTTAGCTTTGACTACTCAGTCTTTCTTATTCATGCTTATTATATATATCATATAACCCAATATTCATTACAACCCTGGTTGTATTCAGGACTGCCATGGGATGTGCTCTCTACAAAGATGAAATTTTTGCAGTTGGAGGAATAGGAGGATCAAATGGGTTAGAAAAATTCTCTTCTTAAAAAGGACTGTAATCGTAATTTTAACTTAGTTTCTATAATGCACCAATTTAGTATGGTTGAAACCTTAATCTAATCAAAAATGTGGTAACTGGACTTGAAAAGTCATTGTTTCTGTTAATTTCTCCATCATTTCTTATAATCAAGAACTACTGATTAAAAAAGGCAGTAAAGCTTGATTTCTCCCTCTAATAGTATAACAAGGAGCCCAAGCCTCCTTGTTATACTTCTCTTTGAAGCAGAATATAATCTCTCAAAGAGGAAGGAAAAGTCTAGCACTAAGGCAGGTCATTTCCATCCCGAGTTCCCTAAATAGGAAGTTGTTGGAAAACGACCCTGGTACCTTAGGTAATCACTTTTCCTTCCTTATATAGGAATGCTAAATTTTTAAAAGCAGAGTAAATGCGTCATAAGAAAAGTATAACAAGGAGGTTCAACTTCTTATTGGAGGGAGAAATCAAACTAAACTGCCTTTTTAAATCATGAGTCCTTACAAGGCATTCCAGTTTTGGGACGATGGAAATACAGTGTATGTAACTTTTGCAGAGAAACCACAAATGACAATAAACATTTCAGGGTATTGTTATAAATAGGGCAAATTGCCATCTTAGCATAAATGGTTTAAATTATGCATACAGTACCTTTATATCTGAAAAATTTAATTAATATCTAATGTGTATTTATTGCATTAAGCATATTAAAATGTAACAGTTTTCCTTGGTAGAATTAAATTTGTTATCATGAAATTATTCAACAATATTTAAAAAAAAATATTTAATTTAGAATTGATGTTGAGATTTATAATATACAAAGGAAGGAATGGAGAACTGTAGGAAGTAGGGTTACCAATCGTAATTAATGAAAATCTTCTTTTTCTTTTTAAAACATTTCTATCCCATTGGTATAGCTGTTTTGGCAAAACTTTAAAGAAATTTTAAAGGGATTGGAAGTGAAATTTCAAGTGAACCTTCATAAAATTGGGCTTTGCCCTATTTACAAAGATACCCTTAAAACCTTTGTCTCGCCATTGATGAGAAAGAAACTGTTTGTGTTTATCTCTAAAATTGTGTTTAAATTACTTCAAAACTAGATTTGCCTTTAGCATAGACATGTTATATTCTATGAAATTCAGAATAATCATGTCTAAACCTGTTTTTACCGATTGAAATATAAAAATTTATTTTCAAAAACTGCAGAGTCACATAAAATAATGCTCACAATCACTAAAAGCATTCAATTCTTAATTTTGCGATATTCATAGGATTTTGGACAAAAAACACACTTGGTTTGAAACGGTACAGCCTCTACTTTTAAATTTTGATTGGTAACCCTAATTCAAGAATTAGTTGGATTTAAGCAATACGGTCCTATGCGCGTGTACGATGGCAAACTTACAATCTTTGGTGGTGGTTCTTCGACGATTGAAGCTTTTAAAGAAGATGATGAAACATGGTAAACAGTGGATACAGTTGCTGGTTTTGGTACAAATTATGGTTTTGGTTCAGCCTCAGTTCCAATTTACTGCAAAGTGTGAATTTGAATGGAAGCAAATAATTGAGAAGTAATTCAACTTATATTTATTTTATATTAGACTTACGGAATTATTAAATGAATATTCTAATTGGCACATGTGTTTTTCAATGTAAAGTAATCATATTCAAAATATTACTATATGCAGCAGGACCAAAAAAAAAAAAATAAAAGATTATAGAAAAAGAAGACAAAAGAATATTTTGTTAAATGTAATATAATGTTAGTGTGATATAGGTCACTCAAGTCTCATATTTGCTGAGAGTTGAAAAGTAAAAGATAAACTGTAAAGACAGTACTACAATGATTTTAACAAAGACTTTGTTAATGAAAGATAGCACATCAGAAAATCTACACAAATTCTACGCAACTTCTACACATTTTGTCGGTGAGCCAAAGATCACAAATTTTGTCTTCTCTAATAATCCAATATCTTTTAAGCTGTTGACATTTTATAATGTCTTCTTTTGAAATGGTCTGTGTTCTAGGGTATATATATAAATATACACACCATGGGTTTCAGAAAGCCCAGAAGAAAACTCTAAAGCGGTGCAGATACATGTTTAAGGATTTTTTGTTCCTTGAAAAATAATGGTCAGCTGAAGGTCAGAGATTTTCAAAAATATTCTACATAGTTTTACACCAAAAGGAGAGCAAAATTCAAAGTCTTTTTTAACGATTAAAAGGACTGAAAATCCCTAATCCCTGTTGTTTTGGGCTGCCATGAACGTTTTAAAAAAAAGATTTATCCAATATGTTTTCTTATATTTTTATTTCCTGCAACTTACCGATGACTTGCAATATCTCCTCCAGTACTAATGATATATTGACCAACAGTTACGAATGAAGACGCCTTGATTCCGCCGTTTCCGTTGGTATTCATACAATTTTCGACAAATATCCATGTTGTCTTATCTTCCTGGGTACCATAGAAGCACCCTAACACAAATATCGCACCTACTCTCAATATGCATCAAAGTTACTGATTAATGTCAAGTGACCCTCCATTTATAGGATGGCATATTACTTACACATTAAATCTATGTTTGATAATGAACCACGAAAAAAACTGTACTTTTCTCCCTAGTGCTATTAAATGTACATTTGTAAGTGTATGTACAGCTTAAACTGTACAGTGTCAACGACAGAACATACTTTTTTCCATACATTTTTTATTTCCTTTTATTGTTATTTAGGCATAGGCTCTGAGAAAGCTGTATCCCCTTTTATTGTTATTTAAGCATAGGCCCTGAGAAAGCTGTATCCAGAAATGCTTGAATGCATAGTCAGACCATACATAAACAAGACTGTGATAATCAAATAGTGGAATAAATAATCAAAAAGGAGCAGGGCCCTTATGAGTCACGAAGCATTCTTGCAGTACATTAGGCATCAATCTGGCTTTTTACCAAGGTTGTATCATAAGGTTAGTTATTCTCAATGCGCTCCAATGTACACAAAATTCAATCTCTTAAGATAGATAGATAAAAACCCAATATGACGTCACTGATTATTCAAAATTATTTTGGTTAATATCTTTGATCAGAGTAAATATTTTGCTATTTGTAATAAAAGCAAAAAAATTTTCCCTTTTTTTTCACGCGACACCAGCCCTTCAGCTAGTGTGTAATAAAAGTGTTTAAAAGTGGGCGTCAAAACGATGACCTTAAATACTTAGGAGACAGCATTTGCCGTACATTGGAGCCCATCGAGAGTAAACAACCTTATTATACAACCTTGCTTTTTACTTAACTTACTAAACAACTGGAGCCCTCCTGGAAAATCTCTATAGGATCACCTTGAACCTTGCTGAATTCAGTTATAGGCTATTGAGATCTCTTGACTTTTTTTTTCAAAATTACTGCAGGATACATGAAAGATGCAGCAGGTTCAGATTTCAGATTTAAAAAAGAAATTCTACTAATTTAGATTTTGAGTATAAACTTGTAGAAAAATTTACAAAATCAGCTTCATGATGAGTTTGCATAACCTTAATTGTGGAGGCTATACAGAACAAAAATAATGAAAAAAATAATAAAGCTGAATCAGATCAAGAAAGAAATAAAATTATTCCTCATACCATCCAGAATGATGCTTTATGATATTACAAGCTATGTTCAGAACTGAATATTATCCTTGCAGGGGGAGGGGGGAGGGCTATGCAGATAATGAAGCACAGTTAAATAAAGTGAATAAGGGTAGAGAGAAAAGAGGAATATTGGAATAATCATTATCTGCAATAAAAACAATAAGATAAAATAAAGTAAAAAAAATTGTAATTTTAAAAAAATGTTTATATAAAAAATACCTAATTTTTTAAAAATACATTTTTTAATTCCTGTAATCACGGTTACCTTTTTATTGCTAAAATGGTAAATCATTGCTTTATTTGAGATGACAATGGATATTATTTAGAAAAATACATAAGAATATATTATATAGCTGTTTATATTGTGCATGAAAAAAAACAGAAATTTTATAATTTATTTAGAATTTACGGCAAAATTTATGTAAATTTAATGTGGAAAGGAGAAATATATGCTTTAAAAGGCCTTGTTATTTTAATTTCGTTTGATCTTTTACCCTTAAAATATTTTTTTCAAAAATTCATTCTAAAAAAGTTTTCGATTAAGTATAATGCAGTTTAAGTTAGTTAAAAATTTTGATCTTTTTAAGATCAATAAAAAACATTTGTTCTGAAACGTAATTTTTTTTCTTACTTTTGCTTTGTCTAAATCCATTCCAAAGAGATAAAAAGAATATTTTATTTAAATATGTTTCAATAATGTCTTTTAATTGTTTAGTAAGGCAAAAGTACAATTAGAAAAAGTGTGATATAAGAATCAGGGGCGTATTCAGGGAATTTTCCATGGGGGCGTACAGATTCCTTTCCAGGTGGGCTCAGCATTCATTAAAGCCTGCAAATATCCTCTGAAAACCCACTGAAAAGTATTGAGTTTACTGATCCAGAGGGGGAAGGGGTCTGAGCCCTGTATACGCCCCTGGGAAGAATGTTTGCCAATAGTAGATTTGAACTAAAATTAATGCTGTAAAAAAACTTAATTCAAAGAATGAAATGACTTCTTTCAAGTTCCCTCCATTTAAGGAGTCATACATGCCCGTTTACATGTAAAAGTGATTTGTGGGTTGTCCTTATGCCGCAGCAAAAAGGAAGAAAAAACAACGATATCTCCCTAATCGTTACTCAGGTAAAGATACAAATAATAACGTTGAGAAACGATGTAACTCCTTTACATGGGGTAATTTGAAATTGATTAGCCGGTCTCTTTTATAAATGATAATTGACATTACTAAAATCCTTGATTGTTTAATTCAATTAAATTCCGGTAAATATTGTAATGTATTGTAATTATTTTTCTTACATGTTAAATAGACCATCATAAATGAAGATGTTTTCTTTGTATTCAACCATTCCTGTAATCAGAATTTTATTACTTTTGTGGAATTATAAACACCCCTGAATGGATATCTAAATCCCTCTAGGGTTAGATCATTAATGGTAGCAGCTTGCTGGTTGATCGTTGCATGAACTTAAATAGATCCTGGTTGGTGGGTACAAGATCTTCACCTCCTCCTCCTCCTTAAGAAGAATCATCATCCTGCTGTACATCGTCCTCACCTTTTTATGATCTTGTTTTCCTGGTTTTGAGTTCTGGGAAGGATTATTCCTGGTACTTGGAGGAGGCATTTTTAGAAACCTCAATTAAAAGGCGTTGACCGTTATTGGTTAGTAGAGATTTGAAGTAAAAACCCAAGAAATAATATTAATCTGAGATGACGTGTCACTCTAAGTATTATTGTACAGTGTATCTGTTGTGAAGAGAGCTGGCTTAGCTAAACTAGTGTACTAGTGTCCGCATCCTACGGTGTACAAACTAATAATCATATGGTGTGGCGGGCCGCGTCAGTAAGAGCAGTAAAATCAAAAAAATTGATGAGACTTCTCATAAGCAGGTTAAATCTATGGGTGTCAGTAATATCTTCCTTCTACTTCATACTCCTTGACTTAAATAGACACTTAGAATTGCGCCTCTACTCTAACGATGAGAAGTGAATTAAAATCATAGAGTAATAAAACGAAGAGGCAAAGCTTAGCTCAGATGTACACAACCGACCTCCCTATTAATTAATTAATAGGGAGGTCGGTACGTTCATCACAATATGTTTATGTATCTATAACGCTGTACACTTGTTTAAGGTGATCGTATTTCTAAGGGGTGGTTTTATGTAGATATTTGAAAATTGAATATTAGTATTGATATTTAGATAGGCACTTAATATGGATTGTAAACACAGGAAATTGTATACTGCAGTATACATTCAAGTTCAGTTGTTTGTTTATTTTAATAAAAGTATGACTAAATATTGCATCGTGAAAAAGTTCAAAAACCAAAAAAATGCAACATTTAAGTGCGTATTGTTGTTTATCTTTAACCCTATAAAGGCTGGGGATCTGAATCTATGTATAGACTGGGGGGCTTCCCACGCCCCTCCCCCCTTAGAAAAGGCCTTAGCGAATAGGTATAGGGTTTTAATTCAAGTCCATAGCCAAATGTTTCAAGGCCAGCTCTTTGAAATAACATTAGATTGAAAACTTTTATAGTGCTAGGGAGGGTAAAAAAATGCAATAAAAAGGTCGAAAATTTTTTTTTTGTTTAAAACAAATATCAAAGTGTGACACATGTTTCTACACTCATTTTTCAAGGGTTTTTCAAAAATATTGTTTTTAGAACTGTAGCTTTAGTCATAAAAAAATTATGGACTATTTTAGATTTATTTTATTTTATTTTATTTTATCGCCCTGAACACTATCTTGTGCATAAAAAAATTACAAAATAATCCTTAAACTTTCTATTTATGAAAAGTCAAACAATTAGTCAAAAAACTAGAGGGGGAGCCAAAAACGCCCCCCCCCCTCCAGTCTGATTAGGGTTAAGAGCTCCAGGTCGTCATCGTTGTTTCATTCTTATGTTTATGTCATGTTTATGATAAAGAGTTGAAGAGAAGAAACAGTAAAAATGTTTGAAATAAGAATGTTAAAAGTTAAATTCAATGCACTAGAAACTTAATAATTTT